AACAACCGAGCATCTTGCTCTTTCTCCTTCTGCCCCAATTCTGCTACCGGCCAAATGCAAAGGAGAAGGCAACGGGAAAGGGGGGACACGGGGGGACACGGGGGGAGGGCGTCGAGGAGGAGAAGAAAGGAAAGCAGCCCTTACCGGTGACTTGGAGATGCGCGCCGAGCAGGGTAGCTCCAAGGAGTACAAAAGCCAGCGGGGGTCCCCGGGCACGGCCACGGCTATTCTCCATATTTCAGCCAACACCTTCGGGGCCGGGGGTCCTGGGCAGCGGCGGCTCGCACACACATGCACTCACACACGCATGCACTCATGCACGCACTCCTGCCCGCAGAGCCCCTCTGGCCTCCTCCTCCTCCTCTTCCTCCTCCTCCTCCTCCCCGTCCTCTTCCTCCACCTCTCTCCCCACCGCCCCGGCGCCTCTTCTGCTTCCGAAGCCTTTCTCCCGGACCCCTGACAGGTCAGCGGCGAAAAGAGGCAGCGAAAAGTTCCATCCAGCAAAAAGTCCAAGGGAGCCCGAGGCCCGGCAACACCCCGGCAAAGTAACTCAGGGCGCCCGCGGGAGCCGCAGGACGGAGGACAGCGCTCCGCGCGGCTTCCGAGGCATCAGCACGCAGACCTTCCAGGAGGGACCCCGGGAGACAGAGGAGAGCGAGCCCCTGGCCGGCCGCGGGGGAAAGGTGGAGGCTGGGTCCCTGTCCTCCGCGGGGAAAGTTGGAGAGAAAAATCCTCCCGGGAGCCGGGGATGTGGTTCGCTTTTTCCTCCAGGAGCCAAGGGGACCGCGGAAGGAGCAGCGGGAGAAGCGCTCTCACTTGTTACCGGGTGTCCGCCAGCGGTGCGAGCCCGGAGTTGGAGCCCTACTCTCCATTGATCCGGAGGAGTGAGGGCTGGAAGGGAAAATGTGGAGACCGGAGGGAAACCGAGTGGATCCGGCAAAGATTCCACGCCAAGGGGGGTGGGGGCAGAGAGAGGAGGGCGGAGAAGGAGAAAAAAGAGCGGTCCTTCCAGCAGCTGCCTGCGCCTGGTCTACATATCAATGAGCAGGGATGCCCTCTGTGGGCAAAGCGTGGGAAGTCACTTTTGTCAATGGAGCCGCCGAATATCCAGAGCGGCTCAGGGGTTTGCAACTCTCTCTCTGGACACTCAGCAGCTGTGTTTGAGGGTGAGCCTAGGTGGGTGCTTAAGCAGAATCAGACGGCCAGGGCTCCGCCTCCTTGGTGCCCTCAGCATTATTTAAGGTAGGATTTTTCAGCTGGAAAGAATCGCCTAATCCCCACTCCCTTCCAGGACAGGTGGGGAAACTGAGGTTCAAAAACTCAGGGACCAAAGCCAGAGGACTGTTTCCTGACCTAATAGCGAGGGTCTGCTTTTTGCAAGACCTTCATTTTGATCCTCTCTTTTCTGGACGTGATTTGGTGCTCTATTCAACAATTTTTTAAAATATATATTTTATTGATTTTTTACAGAGAGGAAGGGAGAGAGATAGAGAGTTAGAAACATCGATGAGAGAGAAACATTGATCAGCTACCTCCTCCACTCCCCCAGTGATCAGCTGCTTCCTGCACACCCCCTACTGGGGATGTGCCTGCAACCAAGGTACATGCCCTTGACCTGAATCGAACCTGGGACCCTTCAATCCACAGGCCGGCGCTCTATCCACTAAGCCAAACCGGTTAGGGCTCTTCAACAATTTTTAAAGCACTTATCTGTTCCAGGTACCCTGCTAGCTCCCAGGAAATAGAGATATGAGGTTTAATAAGACTCGGCCTCTCTCCTCAAGGGGTTTGTGATCTGTTGGGAGAAAGGCATAAATGAATCATTATCAAATATAATGATAAATATGATGGTTCATGGAATGAGGAGGAGGTGCTGTGGGAGAACAAGAGGCACTTCTGCAGTCCCTGGAACATGAGATCTCTCTCTCTCTCTCTCTCTCACACACACACACACACACACACACAGCAGGCAATTTAGGAAGGGTGAACAGTGAAGCCCTTTCAGAAAACAGTTTTAAGCCGACTTCCTTGGAATATTTTATCTCCATTGCGGGACCTCAAGCTCCCCTGAAAGGAGAGGTTGTATGCCATTCTTCTTTGCACCCTCACAGATCTAGCATAGGGTTTGGAATAAAATACCGCACATGCCAATACATTTTTGCTGAATAAGTGAACTTGCAAACAAATAAATTTGGCCAGGAAGGATGATGAATAGAAGCACCACCTTGGTAAAAAGGTCTGTCTTTTAAGGAGCTGTTCATTGCAGGCTCTCTCCATTCCTCACTGTATTACATTGTCCATTTCTTTCTCTCTCTTCCCCACACGTTCTTGTCACTCTCTCAAATTGATCCGTTTCTGAAAGAAGAAAATGCAACTAGCTGTCTCAAAATCAGGGGGGGGGGAGTAGCATGAAAAATGTAGGATGGAATCATCATCAGGAAACGTCCCATGATGTTAGAACTGGACAGTTGTTTCTAGATTTTCAGCCATGTGTATCCCTTTCTGTCTTGGAAAAGTTAAAAATAAGAAGCACCTGTGATCCTCAAATCAAAACCCTCCTGAAGTAGCTTAGCTGGAGGGGTCCTTTAGTGTGGAATGGAACTCTTGGGTGACCCCCAAATTTCTCACACTCTCAGAGTGTCCCTCAGCTGAGGATGAGGTCCCTGGAGGTACAGGCTGGTGGTCTAGAGGAAGGGTTCTTAACTGGACCTAGAGATCTTTCTGGGAGGCCCTGCTGGCAAACTTCAGGAAGTTCGTGAATGAGCTGAGATGTTATGAAAAATGACTGACCTCTGTGCAATGCTATTTTTGCTGGGGAGGGAATCTTTAGCTTTCATTCCATTTGCAAAACAAGTGCATGCATTCCCCTACCACATGAGGGAAAGGACCACTGGTTTAGAAGGTATAGTATGAGGGAAGAGTTGCAATCTCTTCCCAAGAGAGTCATCGAAACCTCTGTTCCTCTCATCAAAAGATGTCCACAAAGAGTGGGAAGGTAGGAACAAAAATGGTCCATGCTGTTTGAATCCCTTTTAATGGACACCTCTCAGTCTAACGCAGTAATGATTAAGTTACTCTTGACTATAGTCCTTGACTCCTGAGTAGTTCAGGCCATCTGCCCCCTGAATGATGAGCTTCTACAAAAGATCATCAACTTCTCTTCCTCTCAGAGACTCATTTGTTCCCACAGCTCGCTTCTGACAGTTCTCTGTACTCACTTCCCCAGTGCCCTCCCCTTCTGCTGGGGGAGGTGGCTCCAGATGGATTCGGGAGCCTTCTCTTGGAAACAGCTTCAATATTCTCATCCACAGAATGGCAATTTGTATTTGAGAGACACAGCTCCTCCTCATCGCTCTTCTCAGAAGTGTCAGGTCCATTTCCCACCTAACCTTCTTATCAGGATAGAAGGAAACCAAAAGTTCAAATACAAAGAGGAGAGTAATGGGAGCCATAAGAAGTAGTTTATTATAATTAATGCTCATCACATAGTCTTTATGACATTTGGTGCTTAGAGTCCCCTTGTGGGGTTAAATCTGATAATAAAATATACAAATACTCAGACACACTTTTGATTTCTGAAAGCAAATTAATCAATGCTTATTATTTCTTCAAACTACATGTATCCTGTTATGTGTGCCTGCGTGTGTTTGGGGAGGGTGTCAAACAGGAATATTGATTTTCTGAGATTAGCCTAAGAATATAAGTCAAATTAAAAGCATGTAATTCCTTTGAGGATCCCCATTATAGAACTGCTTTTCTTATCCTATCTTAATTCAGAAAATTGATTATCTTAGTCTATGTCTATTTCTCTCCCAATATCATGATCTGACTTTAAAAGATATTTTCTATAACACATTTTAGAAATTTATTTGCAAAAACACTAACATCTAGTCAAATGGTGTAAGTTAGACTATGAATTTGACTACACTGAACTCAAGTAATATAAACATGGCAATGAATAATTCACCATTCAGTCATTTATTTAAGAAAGCCAATTATTACATTAGACATCTGGGCAATGTGATATCGATACAGAATACACAACTATAAATAAGATATGGTCACTGCCCTTGGCTAATTTGCAGTCATGGGTTGAAGGGGTGTATTTTAGTTGACTTTTATCTGTTAGTTATGTTTGTTTGTTTGTTTGCACAGATTCCACTCTCCCTTGTTTTGGTAACAGGTCTCACATTCTGCTCTGAGGGTACTATGCCTCTACATTCTCAACTACAATGTTGAGGAAGTAGACAGACTCCGAGTCCTTCTAATCATGCAGAGTAGCCTATCTTTCTGATCATGGTGACAAATTCAGATCTAATCAGAGCAAATGAGACATTTTCTGAGACTTCTAGAAATGAGAAGCTTTCTGTCTCCCATGGGAGTACTTCTAGGAGAAACTTATTTTCCCTCTGGGTTGTGGATGCATTTGAGCTTCAATGAAGGTACTAATTTAGAAGAAATCTTGGAGCTTTCATCACCTCCCTATGAAGGATCCATCAGGTCCCTATGAAGAACCCCTGGTAGGCAGAATAACCTCCCTCCTCTCCCCTCCAAAAATGTGCACATCATAATCCCTGGAACTGTGGATATGTTTACCTCATATGTAAAAATGGATTTGCAGATGCGATAAAATTAATAATCCTATACAATAAAAGGGTAATATGCAAGTAGACCGAACGGCAGAACAACCAAACAACCAATCAAAGCATAATATGCTAGTAATATGCTAAGGCTGCTCAACTGCTTGCTATGATGTGCACTGACCACCAGGGGGCAGATGCTCCAACCAGTAGGTTAGCTTGCTGCTGGGGTTCAGCCCAATCAGGACTGAGCAAGATGGGCCAGACACGCCCTGGAGCCCTCCCATGGTTCCTCCCCGGCCCAATCATACACCAGTGGGGTCCCTCAGCCTGGCCTGTACCCTCTCGCAATCCAGGACCCCTCAGGGGATGTCGGAGAGCCAGCCCCACCCGGCAGGCCACTCCCCTTGGGAGGGAGCCAGACTCAGGGCTCATGGCTGGCCAGTGCTGCTGTGGCAGCACGAGCCTCTTCCAACCGGGACTGATTGGTCCTGAGCCTGCAGCAGGCACAGTGGGGCTGAGATGAGTGGGAGAGGCAGGTAGGAGCTGCAGGTGGTGTTGGACTGTGGGTTTCGCCCGATCCCTGCAGGCCACCCAGAGGGACTCGACCCGTGCACGAATTCGTGTACTGGGCCTCTAGTAATCAATAAGAGATTATCCTGGATCATCCCAATGTCATCACAAGTTTTCTTAGAAAAATGGAAGAAGGAGGCGGAAAGTCAGGGTCAGAAAAGGAGATACGATGATGAAAGCAGGAGTCAGGGCAGAGTGATGCCACCACTTGGAAGGGATCATGGGCCAAGTAGCAGAGGTGGCCTCTGAAAGCTAGAGAAGGGGAAAACGAGATTTCCCCCCGGAGCCTAGAGAAGGAATATAGCCCTAACCATTCTAACTCTGTAAAACCATTTTAAAAATATATCCACAACTGTAAGATGGTAAACTTGTACTATTTTAAACTACTAAATTTATGGTAGTTTTAAAAATAGGAGTACTAGGAAGCTGGCACAGATTTTGGTACCATGGATAGAGGTGCTGCTGTTAAAAAAATAAATAAAAATAAAACTTTAAAATGTACAGGTGGCATAGGAATTGAGCAAAGGGCAGAGGCTGGGAGAATGTTAAGTAACCTAATAGGAAAAAAGTTGCCTTGGATAGACTGTTGGTAGAAAGATGGAACCTAAAGGTGGTGTTTGGGAAAGCTTATAAGGAAATGAGGAACATGTTATTGGAGACTAGGAGGAAGAGGACCCTTGTGATACAGTGGCAGGAAACTTCGCACAGGTGTGTCCTACAGTTATATGGAAAGCAGAACTTATGAGCAATGAATATGGATAGCAACTGAGTAGATTTCTCAAATGTTA